GGACTAGTTTACTTGAAGATCTTGAGGTCAACATTAAAGTCACTAAAGATTAGCAGTCTAGATTAATAGCATTACTCGTCATAAAATTATGAATAATGCTATTTGCAATCGCTCACTGCGACAGTCGCCCTACGTGGCACACACATGGTAGGTGGTTATTTGATGATTAATAAATAAAAAAACTACCACATTAATACATTAAATAATCACCTGCCATGTGTATGTCACGTAGGGCGACTACCTCTGTGAGCGACTGGAAATAACATTACTCTAAAATTATGCCTTGTACATAAACAGGGAACGGCAACTAAAATTTCAGTAAACAAGAAGAATAGTTAGAATATTAGGGGAACATGGAATGCATGAAAAAAAAATTTAAAAAAATAAAAAAAATAAAAAATATTACCACTTTAACAACTGACTTGACTGTCATTTTTGATTGGGTAGCCTCCCTACTTAGTGATTGCCGACATATCGACCTATGTCTGTTTTTACATTATTTACAATAAATTGTTTATTGTTTATTGATGATGTTGAAAAGAGGCGCCCAACAAAATTTAAAGTTAACAATTATGTTTCCGGGTTCAGACTATTTTAAAGTGGCGTACAAATTCTCTATAAACGAGGTCGCAGATTCCCCCTACCAACAAACATCATCCACAAAAGAAATAAATCACTCAAAATAATAAGAATAATGCTATTTGCAGTCGTTCACTGTGGCAATCGTCCTACGTGACATATACGTGGTAGGTGGTTATTTGATGTATTAATGAATAAAAAACTATCACATTAATGCATCAAATAATCATCTGTCGTGTGTATGTCACGAATAGCAATGAGCGACTATGAATAGCATTACTCAAACAATAAACCCCGGATGGAGCAAACCATTGGTTGAGAGCTAAAGAAATGTAAACACGGAAAAAGTCATTAGGAAAGAAAGCCACTTGGCTTAATGGTATAATGCAACTAAAAGAACCTGCAACTTTGACCAATATTAAAAAAAAAAAAAAACGATAAGAATGCCACCATTGCAAAAGGTGGAGGCATGGACAAGTAATGCACTTACTGTTTAGAATAAATTGAAAAATATCTTAACAATTCTTCATCTTTTAACAACCTCAAAATGAGATTGCGACTTACCACAAACCATTTAACTTATAAATATAGGGTTGGCATTTAACTTATAAATATAGGGTTGGACACCAACATAACTAACCTTTTCCACTTGTCTTTAAACCCAAAGCTTATGTCTGAAAACCTTTAAAAAAAATCCAACAAATTAACTCAAGACTTTATAGAGTAGGAGAATTTGGTAAACCACATACCCCCCACCCCTACCTACTCCCACTCCTCCCACCTGCCCCCTATATAAAGCAACACATAACAGGTCTCTCCATTAAGTAGCTACTTTTTCTTGATTCACTATTACCTACAACAATTATTCCATACAGTATCCAATGGCATCTCAAAAAGTTGCAATGGGCATAGTCTTGATTCTTGTAGCCATGTTTTGGGGTGGAATCGATGCACAGTCAAGGGACTGCACGAATTCGATTGTTAGTATGTCTCCGTGCCTGAATTACGTCTCCGGGAACTCATCGAGTCCGTCCCCCGGATGCTGCACACAGCTTGGGACCATAGTCCGATCGCAACCCGAATGCTTGTGTCAAGTACTGAATGGTGGTGGCTCCTCCCTTGGCCTTGACATAAACCAGACACAGGCTTTAGCACTGCCTAAAGCCTGTAATGTCCAAACTCCCCCTTCCAGCCAATGCAATGGTAATATTCCTCATCAAAATTTCCTTATTCCATTTATGTTATAAATTGATTTGTGTGAAGCCTAACCATGCTCTATACTTATCCCTCTGACATAATCTTTCCCAGGGTGTGAAACCACTATAAATCTTCTTTTTTTTTTTTTTTTTCATCATTATATTTGTTATTACCTTTGTAAGAAGAGATAACGGCTTAAATCTTAACAATAATACTCTCATTTTTGCAGCTGGTTCGCCTTCAGGATCTCCTGGTACACCAAATACTCCAAACAATAATCCTTCTAGTACATGAATTAGTATCTAATAATTTTTTTATAAGTTTATTAATTTAAATATTTTAATATTCTTTTTTTTTTTTTGCTTGTATAATGTTGCAGATGGTGGATCAAAAAATGTGCCATCAACAGGAAATAATTCTTCAGATGCAACTTCCTCCAAATTGGATGCTCCACTGATGTTTCTTCTTCTGTTTGTAGCATCTTATGTTTCAACCTTAACCATGTCATGATTTCTACAGAAAGTTAGCCAGTTTTGCGGTATGTTTTAATACATACAAATATTATAAATAAATTTTAGTGAGATATTGGGTTGGTGGAGTATTAGGTAGCTATTAGTTGGGATTTTTGTTGACCCATTGTTTTGTTTATTCAATTATTGCTTGTTGTCTCTATCTTCATAATAATCTACAGTATTTCCTTTTTTTCCTCATAGATGTTGTACGAGTATTTGATACACACCTGACGCCACTAATAGAGTTGAAAATACAATTTAAAAAATTTTAGTTCCGTCTTTATCATTTAGATTTCAAATTGGTACCCCAATTTCTATTTTAATTGTTATTAACTATTATAAGAATTTGGTAACCAGACAAATGAGAAAGAGAATACCTACATATTTCTTCATTAATCTTGTTCAATTATGCAAAGATCAATATACCAAACACATAGATAAAATTGTTATTGACACAATTAAATTTCATTTGGATCACTACACTTTTTGGTCTCA